AACCCGATTTTTTGGATTTGTTAAATAGATATATGGATTGATTGGTTCAGTTGTGGTGCATTGAACAGGTAGGCAACAACAACCACATATTCTGCTGGGCATGCCGAATGCACTACTGTTACTTGTGCAAGAAAATTGTAAGGCGTAGCTCTCAACACTACGGACCCAAGGGCTGCAAACAGCACAGTGAGGGGTAGTGGCAAGGAAATGGGCTTCACACATTTTTATTTGTTGTAAATTGTTTCAATAAAACATGGTTTTGTAATAATACAGTATGCAAGTTTGCTGCTGGTTGTGTGTGTGATTCATTTTTCACCTGAATTATACCAAATGAAAAGGGATCCTTTCACTCCCACAATAAGACCCTCAATTAACAGAATGGCTTACTGTTATCCCTGTTCCTACCCTGCTACTCATTTTTTATTGTAACCAAAACGTAATTAGCAAATTTGCTGCTTCCTGCATACACAATGGACATAAGAAGGTAACCATCAACCAGACTTTTAAAAACTGTAAAAAAAATGATTTACATTTCATACGGTAAAAGTATGTTGTTAGAATTAGGGATGGATCAAGGGGTGAGTGTGATAGTAATCTTCGTAAAAGTTTTAAATATCATATATTTTAGATTTTTTTATATTTTTTATTGATAATCTATTATTCTTTCTGATAAACTTTTATGAGTTTGTTCTACTTAAAATTTTATAAATTTATCATCTAAAAATGAAACCTTTATGTCTATCTGTGGAACTATGCTGTTTCTGAAAAGGAACATAAAGACAACATGGGGGGAGTTGGGATAAGGCTTGCTTTTGTCACTTGTCAAAACTGAATAGTCATTGAAGATACATAACCATTGTCCCATACATACCCCATCGTTTTCCCAAAGTCAATTATACATGTCCCTACCCATTTTCAATAAAACAAAGAACTCTTATTTCTTTCATAATATAAAAAGATTATATGATAATAATTGTTTAAAAAAAATTTAGCCATCGATAATTCATATATTTATAAGCGTAATTGTTTAAACTTAAAATCTTTAATAATATTAATATTTTTTAATCATAAAGACTATTTGATAATTTCAAGAACCTTGCCTTTCTAAAACGATGCTCCATGGAGAATTAGGACCTTTTGACTTGGCGTAATGGTTAGATGAATGACATCGGCGGCAATAATTGATGTGTGATCCATATCAACTGCCCTTGACCAAAAGCATAGTTGATGTTCCAACTTTACTAGCGTTTTTCCATATAAATTTTAACTCTCTCGTTGGATTCAAACAAATCATTGATATTAAAATGGACCGATATCAATCTTTGATTAAGGATAATCATTCAATCGAGTCGAGTCAAAAGATTTTGAGTTATTCGAGCTGACTAGTCTTATTTTACAACTCGAATTTTTTCGAGTCGAGTTGAATTTTCAAGTTTATGTTAAAATTAAATTATAAATATTTATAATATTATGATATTATCTTACTCCAATTTAAACAATTTTTTTATAATCATATACAATATATATATATATATATTCATATTATTTCATATGTGATGCACATATATCATATAAAATTCAAAGACTCGATTTAAACTTAAAAATTAACTCACTAATTATTAATATTTCGAGTTATTCAAGCATACTACTTTAAGATGTAGTATACATTTTATCTTTTCCTTGTCATGCGGTCATCTGCTTTGTATACTGTAGAAATATTTATCCATCATCAATGGAATTAATACTGATAACTGGAGCTCCAAAGTACGATTCGGGAACTTCTAAAATTTCATTAATCGAGTCGATTTTTTTTCAAAAATAATTAATCGAACTGAACAAAGTTTGGTTAATCGGTCGTTTAATTGATTTAACTGAAATTTATAAATAATATATTTTATATTTTCGGTTAATTCGATTAATTTGGTTGGTTAATTCGGTTAAATTTAGTTTAAACACTCTAATATATAAATAATATATTAAATTTTTAATAATTTCCATTAATTCGGTTAACCAATTTGAAACCCAAATAACCGATAACCGAAGTTTAAAAAATCATTAATTGTTAACTGATTAACCTAAAATTAATCAATCGATTAATCGGAAAAAAAACTTTAATTCGATTGGTTAAATTGGTTTTAACCGAAGTTTGAATGCCTCTATCTCTAATAGTTAGTTTAATTAAATATCTAAGTCCTAATAAATGTTGATTTTCATAAAATAGTAATTATACTCGAATTTTTTTACTCAATTAATTTGTCTTGATCTAGTACTCATCCCTAATAGTTAGTTTAATTAAATATTTTGATTTAAATACCCTTTAAATTTCTATCAATTTTGAAATTGAGTTAATTAAATTCTCTCGTGGAAAAAAAAATGAGTGGTTAAGTCGATGTATATTTTGAAAGTTATTAAATAAGAATGATTTAAGAGGTTAACCTTTTTGTACTATAATATGTGTCTAATTATGATTGGATAAATTTTTTAAATAATGTAAAAACAAAAAATATATAATTTATAATATTTTTCATAATTTTAAAAGTTGTATGCTTAAATATAAACTTGGTATATGAATTAGATAACTTTTTTCAAGATATACTTAAAGAATATTTGCTCCCAAATTGGTATTTGAACTTTAATTCTATTCATTGTTTTCATATTTTATTAATTATATTAACTCTTAAGAGCGTAAAAACATAAGAATATTTTGGTACTTAAGTGAAGGCGCCTATTTCAAGTATTAAATTAGGAGAAAAGTTCTTTTAATACCAACTCGAGTATTTTGGTATATAAGAATATTTTGGTACTTAAACACGGATCAACTTATCTCAATAGATAAAAAAATCGTTGTTGTTCTTATAGGTCACAGGTTTGAGCACCAGTGGCAGCAACAACGTGATTAAGTATTTATTGTCAAATGTTGAGAGTATTTAGAACATATACTATTTTGTAATCACCTTAGGTTAATAAACAAAATTCTAATTAAATCATGCTCGTGTTTTATTAATGATTATTTACAAATTTCTACATGAAATTTCTTAAATACTTATTCATTTAAATATAAAATTAACTAATGGTTCTTAATTAGTTTTTTTATACTTTTTGTATGTATTTTACAATGTTTTCAAAACCGGACCGGACATTGAACCGGTGATGGTATTGGTTCACTGGTTCAACCGGGTTCAACCGGGTTCAACCGCAGTTGAACCGGATTTTATATAAAATAATTTTTTTTTAATTTTACATAATATTCAAAGCAATATTAATATATATGTAACATTTTTTTTAAGTTTACAATATTAAAAGGTATAAAAATATCACAAGTCATAACATGTATAAATGAAAAATCATAAAATCAAGTGAAACAAAATGATTCAAATCAACTACAACATAATATTTAAGGTAAAACATATTAAATATTAAATATAATTATATAACTATAATCAAAAAAATAAAATTAGGGTTTAAAAAAATCATAACAAATGAAGTCATTTGGTTTAATTGTTTTAAAAAAAATAATCTCACATGGCTAAGAAACATAGAAGAGTATCCCAAAAGTTTAAAGAGTAAAAATATGAGAGCAAAACAATCTCACATGGCTAAGAAACATAGAAGAGCATCCCAACTTACTTCTATAAATAATAGAGGTAATTTGACATTCAAAATCATGGAGCCTTTTGGTGAGCACAAAGCGAACTATTCTTTCGCTTCAATTGAACTCAAATTTTAGGCTTCAATCGAACTTCTAATTTTTTTTGAGTTCGAGCCTTTTCGATTTCTTTCGAGTGATAATTTTTAGCTCGTGAGTTTTGAGTCGAGTTGAGCTTACTTTAAAGTTTCGAGTCGAGTCGATCAGCAATACTCGAATTTGACTCGGCTCGTTGAACAACGACGTTGTTGGTTTAATTTTTTTTAAAGAAAAAAAGTGAACCGGCGGTTCAAACCGGTTTTGCCGGTTTTCAGCCGGTTCACCCTGGTTTTCCCGGTTTTCAGCCGGTTCTTCCGGTTCTTTATCGGTTCTGTGCTAATCCGGTTTTGGAAGTTAACCGAAACGGACAGGCCACCGGTTCACGGTTCAACCGGTCGAACCGGCCGGTCCGATTTTAATAACATTGGTATTTTACCATGATTTGAAGTCCATATTGTAGTATTACAATTTCTTTTGTGTTTGTAGCTTTTGTATATTTAGGGTAAATTACATGTTTAGTATTTTAATTATCATTTTTTTTTTCGTTTTGATTAATTATATAATTTTTTAAAATTATAATTATTATTTAGTTGTTATTTTATTTTGGCACCTACCGTCAAAAAATTAATATTGATGTTGACGTATCACTGTCATGTCATCCTTTAAAAATAAAAAAATATCACGTTAACAGTTCTATTAATTTTTTAATGGTGGGTGCCCAAAATGTAACCAAAATGTAATGCATGTATAATTTTTAAAAAATAGTTCAGTAACCAAAACAAAACAAAAGTGATAGTTGATATACTAAACATATAGTTTATCCATTTTTTTTAGATGTATTAGCATGTTATACAAGCATAATATTCAAATAAGCATTGTAATATTAAATCTTTTTTTATGTGTTATTTCTTGATGTCATTGTAAAATGTAATCAATATTTATGCATTAACCAACTTACTTCAGTGATTAAAGAAATCATTATTGTTCTTAGATGTTACAGGTTTGAGCACCAACACTTACAGTAGGGTGATTGAGCGTTCATTTTCAAATGATTAAGAATAATTAAAACAAATATTCCTTTGTAATCACCTTAGTTTAATAAAAAATATTTATGTTTTAACTTGTATTCAATATTTTTTTTGACTCGTAAGTATAATATTATTGTAAGTGGATAACAAAATGTGAAGTTGGAGCGTATATGTATTCTCAATTGATTAAAAAATTTATAAATTACAACTGGAGTAACCCATTGGCACTTGATTACATAAAATCTCCATGCTGCACCTTTATTTCTCTGTTTTCACTAACAATATTGATGACAAAAGCAACCAATATTTGCAATAAAAGGCCTCATCTACTTCACATCCTCGATCGCTTTTCTTCAGTTCCTAAACATTCTCTTTCATTCATTTTCTGCAACTTCTCTGTTGTTCTTGGGGCAAAAATGGAACCTTCAAGTAACAAAGACAGTGATGATACAAAGAAGAAACAAGTAAAGGAGGAGCATCACAAAGTTCCATTGTCGAAGTTATTTTCATTTGCCGACTTTCACGACTATGTTCTTATGGCTTTGGGTTCCATCGGTGCATGCGTGCATGGTGCATCTGTTACGGTTTTCTTCATCTTCTTCGGGAAACTGATTAACGTCGTCGGAATGGCTTATCTCTTCCCAGAACAAGCTTCTCACAAAGTTGCCAAGGTACATAAACAAAACTTGTTTACGTTTTGGTTAATCAATCATTTTAAGCAAATTTGTTACCATCCTCCTGTTTGAGCAGTACTCATTGGATTTCGTGTATCTCAGCGTGGCTATTTTATTCTCCTCATGGATAGGTTAGTGAAAAATGTCTCTCCTTCACGTAAAAAACATAGTTATTTATATATTGATGATGTCTGTATATGTATATGTATATGTATATGTATATGTATATGTATATGTATATGTATATGTATATGTATATGTATATGTATATGTATATGTATATGTATATGTATATGTATATGTATATGTATATGTATATGTATATGTATATGTATGTATATGTATATGTATATGTATGTGTATATGTATATGTATGTATATGTATGTATATGTATATGTATATGTATATGTATATGTATATGTATATGTATATGTATATGTATATGTATATGTATATGTATATGTATAGAGGTGGCTTGCTGGATGCATACTGGAGAGCGACAGGCAGCGAAAATGAGGATGGCATATCTGAAGAGTATGCTGAATCAAGATATAAGTTTATTCGACACTGAAGCTTCAACGGGAGCAGTCATTTCTGCAATCACAAGTGATATTATTGTCGTCCAGGATGCTCTTTCCGAGAAGGTAATTCATTTTCAGCCCTTCTGTTCTTCTTTAGTTTTGTTTCTCGGTCTCATGAAAACGGTGAAGATGAGAATATAATCCCAAGAGAAGTACTGTGACCTGAGTTAATAGTAGCAAGTTAAACGAAAGAGAAACTAGTTTTAAAATTTGCATTCATGCTAGCATTTATTACTAGTCGGCTGGTTGCTCGGTGTAATTTTTTCTGGGTTTTTAAGCAATGCCCCCACCTGCTTCACACTCCATGAAGCTGATCTGGGTCGTCTGATCACCTGCTTCACAGTTCCAAGCTCTAAAACAAGAGTTGACAGAGAAAAATATGAAATTAAAGGCTGTTGAGGATAAGTTTGAGTTGAGAAGCAGTATGGCCTTAAATATAGCCTGTCTGATCATTTTCATCTCGGTTGGATTGAAATTAGATCTGATCATTCATAAATGCTGTTTGACTATTTATTGCTTTTTGTCATTTTTCTTTAATCGAACAATGGGACATTTTGGATGCTGATCTGAAAATGTTTATGGATAAATCTGAAACGTGGGGAATGATGTCAGGTGGGGAATTTCATGCACTACATAAGCAGGTTTATAGCGGGTTTCAGCATTGGTTTTACCATAGTTTGGCAAATCAGTTTGGTTACACTGTCAATTGTCCCTCTGATTGCCGTCGCCGGTGGCTTTTATGCTTATGTAGCCACTGGTCTTATTGCTAGAGTTCAAAACTCGTACGTCAAGGCCGGTGAAATTGCGGAAGAGGTCGGTTTTTTTCTTCAATCTCCCATGCATTAACGTGAAAATTGATCAAAACAAATAATATGACATGACTTTTCAGGTGATCGGGAATGTTCGAACAGTCCAAGCATTTGCAGGAGAAGAAAGGGCAGTGAAATCGTACAAAGAAGCATTGATGAACACTTACAAATATGGTAGAAAAGCTGGCTTAATCAAGGGACTAGGAATGGGTTCTATGCACTGTGTGCTTTTCGTTTCCTGGGCTTTGCTCGTTTGGTTCACCAGTATAGTGGTTCATAAGAACATTGCAAATGGTGGGGATTCTTTCACTACCATGCTCAATGTTGTCATCTCCGGCATGTAAGTTCTTTTCTCCGGTGAAATCTCAATATATGGAAGTGCTGAAAACTTATTGTAATCCCTTGGTTTTGTTGTGTTGCAGGTCATTAGGACTGGCAGCACCAGACATCTCGGCATTTATCCGAGCAAGGGTGGCTGCGTATCCCATATTTGAGATGATAGAGAGGAATACCATAAGCAAAACCGGCCACAAACTAGGCAAAGTAGAGGGTCACATTGAATTCAAGGACGTGTTGTTCAGTTACCCGTCTCGCCCGGATCTCGTAATCTTCAATAGGTTCAACCTCAACATACCTGCTGGCAAGATTGTAGCTCTCGTGGGAGGGAGTGGCTCTGGCAAGAGCACAGTCATATCATTGATTGAGAGATTTTATGAGCCCCTTGCAGGGGAAATTTTGTTGGATAGGAATAATGTTAGGGACCTTGATCTCAAATGGCTTAGACAACAAATCGGTTTGGTTAATCAGGAGCCAGCTCTTTTCGCAACAACAATCAGGGAGAATATTCTTTACGGAAAAGATGATGCTACACTTGAAGAGATAATGCGTGCCGCAAAACTCTCAGAGGCCATTACGTTTATTAATAATCTCCCTGATAGATTTGAGACTCAGGTACTCCAACATGAGTTTCGTTGGAAGACCCTTGAGTGGTCATCAAGTTGGTAAAGCATTTTTGTCTTGCATTGTAAGTACTAAGAGATCACTTTGGAGGTGCAGGTTGGTGAGAGAGGAATACAACTATCAGGTGGACAGAAGCAAAGGGTTGCGATATCTCGGGCAATAGTGAAGAATCCATCTATTCTTCTACTTGATGAAGCAACAAGTGCACTTGATGCAGAATCTGAGAAGAGTGTCCAGGAGGCACTTGACCGTGTGATGGTGGGACGAACCACAGTCGTGGTGGCTCATCGACTTTCTACTATTAGGAATGCAGATGTGATAGCTGTTGTTCAAAGTGGGAAGATTGTAGAAACTGGCAGCCATGATGAGCTCATTTCAACTCCTAACAGTGCCTATTCGTCACTCGTTCAGCTTCAAGAGACGGCATCACTGCAACAGTACCCCTCACAAAATCATCCAATGAGTATGCCACTCAGGTACATTAACAATGAAGTTAATATTCATTTCTAAATATGGGGTTAATTTATCTAGTTTTATGCCAAAAGTTAGTCATAAAGGACTTAATTTGCATCAGGCATTCTAGCTTTTTTTCTGTATGCTATTCATTAATCAGAACTTTGTTTGCTTTTGCCCCTTCAACTTCTTTATAGCTTGAGTTATTCACGAGAATTATCCCGAACAAGGACAAGCTTTGGCACAAGTTTTCGTTCTGATAAGGACTCCTTACTAAGCCGTGTAGGTGTTGAAGCAATAGATACAGGGAAGCCTGTTTCACCAGGAAGACTGTATTCTATGATAGGGCCTGACTGGTATTATGGCGTCTTTGGCACCGTTGCTGCACTAATCGCTGGAGCTCAGATGCCTCTCTTTGCCCTTGGGGTTTCTCAGGCTCTTGTATCCTATTACATGGACTGGGAAACGACGTGTCGTGAAGTCAAGAGGATTTCCATCCTATTTTGCTGTGCTGCAGTGATAACCGTCATCATTCATGCTGCTGAGCACCTATGTTTCGGTATCATGGGAGAGCGCCTCACTCTTCGTGTGCGTGAAGTGATGTTTTCTGGTAATAAGTGATCCAATCCTAGCACTCCTTTTTCTAGCCACCTGTAAAAGTCATATGTTCTGTACTTAATTTTACTTTTGCAGCCATTTTGAAGAACGAAATCGGATGGTTTGACGACCTAAACAACTCAAGTTCCATGCTTGCATCACGTCTAGAGAGCGATGCAACGTTTTTAAAAGCTGTAGTTGTCGACAGGTCATCGGTTCTCATTCAGAATTTAGGTTTGATCGTTGCTGCCTTTATCATTGCATTCATCTTAAACTGGAGAATCACACTTGTTATATTGGCCACTTTCCCATTAATCATAAGTGGTCACATTAGCGAGGTTCGCACCTTTCCCATTATTTAATTTACACTTGTTATCTTGGCCACTTTCTAGTGATATTCTTCCTATTATTCAGAAACTATTCATGCAAGGTTATGGAGTTAACTTAAGCAAAGCATATCTAAAAGCAAACATGCTTGCCGGCGAGGCTGTCAGCAATATTCGAACTGTTGCCGCATTTTCTGCTGAGGAGAAGATCATTGATCTTTACGCCCATGAGCTGGTAGAGCCCTCAAAGCGTTCGTTTAACCGTGGTCAAATTGCTGGGATATTCTATGGAATTTCCCAGTTCTTCATCTTCTCATCTTATGGCCTTGCATTATGGTATGACGGTTGAGCTTCATAATAGTTCATTAATGAGAAATGAGCATTGTAGTAACTAGTGCATTGCGGTTAATTTGTGCAGGTATGGTTCTGTGTTGATGGGGAAGGAGCTAGCTAGCTTTAAATCTGTGATGAAATCATTTATGGTTTTGATTATAACGGCACTAGCCATGGGAGCAACTTTAGCATTGATTCCGGATCTTCTAAAAGGGAACCAAATGGTAGCATCTGTGTTTGAGATCATGGACCGGAAGACGCAGGTCGCTGGGGATACTGGAGAAGAACTCACAAATGTGGAAGGTACAGTTGAGCTAAGGGGCGTCCAGTTTAGTTATCCATCGAGGCCAGATGCAATCATTTTCAACGACTTTAATCTAAAGGTGCGTTCAGGCAACAGTATGGCCCTTGTGGGGCAAAGCGGATCTGGTAAAAGTTCGGTTCTTGCTCTTATACTTCGATTCTATGATCCAACAGCTGGGAAAGTGATGATTGATGGTGAGTTTTTCTCCAGAAAATCTTTGAAATCCAACTGGTGAAATACTTATTTCAACCAGTCATTCATTTAATCCTTGTCAAATCCTTAACAGGCAGAGACATAAGGAAACTGAAGCTCAAGTCTCTTCGGAAACACATTGGTCTAGTCCAACAAGAACCGGCTCTTTTCGCTGCATCAATTTATGAAAACATCCTTTATGGAAAAGAAGGGGCTTCAGAATCAGAAATAATTGAAGCAGCTAAGCTTGCCAATGCACATGGTTTCATAAGTTCCCTCCCCGTGGGTTACTCGACGAAAGTTGGGGAACGGGGAGTGCAACTATCTGGTGGTCAGAAACAGAGAGTAGCTATTGCTCGTGCTATTCTGAAGAATCCGGAAATCTTGCTACTTGATGAAGCCACCAGTGCTCTAGACGTGGAGTCAGAGCTTGTGGTGCAACAAGCTCTCGACAGATTAATGAGGAATCGAACAACAGTTATGGTGGCACATAGGCTGTCAACTATTAAAAATGCAGACAAAATATCGGTTATACAAGGAGGAAAAATAATAGAGCAAGGGACTCATTCTAGTCTGATAGAAAACAAAGACAGCCCATATTTTAAGTTAATCAACCTTCAGCAGCAACAGCAACTAGAACATTGATGTTACAATGTCTATAAGATAATAACTATACACGAAGAATAAACAAATTACCAAGACAGTTTATGCAAGGTGTTTTATTTAATACTACATATATTTTACATCATTAGAGCCATTATTTTCTAACTCAGATCTTTTATTGAAAACCCAGTTATGCCTAATACTAATCTGGCACCAAATATTGTAGCTGAAATTCAAATGAGAAAATCACATGACAAATTTGACATTGAACATAGGTTAAAACTGTACAATAATTCTGTTGGGTTGGAGCTTTTAATCAAATCATGGTACAAGGTCTTCCTTCTCTGTTCCTACCTAAACCTTTTGCCTTTCTTCTTATGATGGGAACTGCTCACTGGACTGAAGTTGTCCAGCTTGCGTTTTACACCGGTTTGTTCGGGAACACTACCATCTTTGTGTGCTTTTGTATTGGCCTTTCTACTGGTCATGTGTTCTTTTGGCTTCTCCGTTCTCTGAGCTTTAAATTTCGTTTTTACAGGGCCTAGGCTGCCCTTAGAACGGACTTTCTTCTTCTTGCAACCTGATTTGCTAGAACACAAGCCCTGGTATGACAAAGAAGGTTTCGTATTTGATCTGATGTCATTAGTTTGAGGGAGTGCTTGAACCAACAGCAAACTTCTTGGATGGGGTACTACTATCTTCCCCTGGAGATGATTGATTCTTTCTCTTAGATGGGGTGGCATCTGGCCTGGCATGAGAAAGCCTAAGCTCTCTATCCCTAAGCTTCCACGTTCGCCTTTTAACAATCAAATTTGCTGCTTCCTGCTTCCTGCTTCCTGCTTGCTGCTTCCTGCTTCCTGCTTCCACAATGGACAATAGTAACTTGAAAGACAAGAAATCCAAAACTTCTGTCGCTTACACAAATACTACCCAAACTATATTGGATTTCACTAAGTCCTACAACAATACATAGTGAGACTTCCTGGTTCACCTCTAAAGATGCAATCGATAGCAACAAGGAGATCTCCTTACAGGTCGATTGATTAACCTTTTCAAAAGAGCAAAAACAGACCCCATTGAGTGATAGTGGCCTACAATGACACTGCCACTAGGTTGTATGACATAAAATGGTAACGATCAACGAACACTATTATTGAAACCAGAAATTAAATGTTTCACGTTTCAATTGATAAATAAAGGCTTGAAAAATGAAGAAAAAGAGTAGACATACACTTGCTTTGAACAAGACGAAAGCAATACCCTTGCCAACACCAAATTGAGGATCTCTAATAACCTGAACAGCTTCAATGCTAGACTCCAGATTATTAATACCACAAATAACTGATAAATTTCTTCATCCTGCAATGAGTATCAACCTTTTGCTCAGATCATAGTATCATTGGCAGGATTAGGAAACATTAATCTCATACTAGAACCAAGATCGAAATATCAGACAGAAATCTTCACCTTCACATCAAATGGGAGATTACCAACAAAAACAGTCCTCTGGTTATCATAGAGAGGAACATTCTCTGCTTTCAACTTTTTCCTTGGTGGGCATGCCCTATCAACACGAATATGATTTCCTGCAATCTATGTCCATGAAAAAGACAACAGAATCAATATATAGCATCTTCACCCTTAAGCATTACAGTTGTTCAGACCACAATAATAACAAAGAATACCAGGGCCATCTTATTGGCTAAAGATGCCTCGGCAAATTGCTCGGTTTTGAAAACAACGTATGCATGAACACTGCAAAAAAAAGTATATATCATTAGTGATAAACAATATATGTGAGTAAAAAAATAAAAACAAATCAGTCCTCACTCCCCACCTTTGGTTCTGGTTTTTACTTATTGCAGATTTTATTTTGGTTCCTTCTTGAAACTCTATTGTCCCTCATGTTTATGAGATTTGAACGTGTGGTTAAGTATGGTAAGGATTTATACCGCTATGCATGCAGGTTTGGTATTATACTATTTTCGGTTTGCTTGTCATGTCTTGATATTTGTTGTAAAACAGAGAAGATTAGAGAAATATGATTCTATTCAGCTTATTATATAGGCTATTTATACAACTATACAAGCTAATATGAATGGAAAGTAAATCAACTCATTCCTAAGAATTAGCCCGAGATCTTGCTACCATCTATACTAATTTGCAGTCTGTAACTCTCCCTCTCAAGGTAGTGCATAGATGTTAGTCATGCCTAGCTTGTTACATTGAACTCGATTTTCGTTCAGTGCCTTTGTGGTTAAATCAATAAGTTGTTCGGTTGCGGTCGTGTTTTTGGTCTCATTGCGTTTATTGAGATTGCGGACATAATGGGTGCTATTGCGGTCATTGTGGGTATCGTGGCTGTGCAATAACGGTTTCGGATGACACTAAACTCGCTATATAATGGCCGCTATTCCAATGGTGGACCTCTATTTAAATCCCTGGTCCTAACTGTGTGGGATTATCTCTTTTATCTCATTATATTAGGCTGTATTTTTCTTGATTTAATAAGAGAATTTTTCCTTCACCAAAACTCTCAATTGGTGTTAAAAGAAATATGTATAAATTGGCAAAAAAATATGTTATTGATGTTGAAACTTATACATAAACTGTTACCAGCTGGATTCATTGCATTGTACTTCCTCGTATAGGTATTAAAATTGTTGTATACTGAATTCTAGTGACTAGTGATCACAGAAGTTTCTATTTTTGCACTTTCAACAGACAAAATCAATATATGTATATCTAAATTGCAAATTATGAGTCACAAATATGATGAGATTAATATATTGGCCATCTTAATGAAGGTATGTTTTTCACTTATTTCTCAATTTTATGGTTGGAACCAATGAATGTTATTCTAATCTGATTTGGGTTCTCTTTCCATTGATTTATCTTGCATGCAGTGTATATGGTCATTGCTTTAACTAGTGAAAGGGCATTTTGTGACTATTTTTATTTAAATCCACCTATTGTCATACAATCATGTCATTTAGTTTTAGTTCGATGTCTATGTTTAAGTCAATGGTACTATAGGAAAACTATCATTGAATTTGAAGATGCATTAGCAGCTTCCTATAACCCTTGCTACTTTGATTGTTTGAGTGTTGAGGTACTCAGCTTAATCTGTTCAATTTGTGCCATCTAAGTTGATCACAAGTAGTTTGTTCATTAATCTGGAAAAATTTTGTCTTGTTTCTTCTACTTCCTGTCAGCTGTTGCGGTGAATGCCAAGCTTCAATATTGTGTTGGAGCAAAACCATTCTTTGAAGATGCCCACCTATCTGCTGGAAATAAGAAGAAAAGAGTTGGAAATGTTCTGAAGGCATCAAATATGCTTTTCTTTATAGTGGCATATGATCTTGTGCCAACACTAAAAGCAAAATGGGGAATTAAGCTCATCATCAAGAAAACGCTATTGAGTTAAAACTAAAGCATGTATATACTTCTAATGAACTAATTCAAGGCATCATTTAACAATGCATGTTTGGGGTATTAGTCAAATTTTCAAATTTTCTGAAAATAGATCTTGTGGTTTCAGGTATGTTCATCCATTTACCAATATCGAATGCCCTGTTGTCATTGGAGGAGATTACTGTTGGAAAATATCGAGTAATTTCCCTATAACCAGATTAGTGAGAATACGAAATAAAATCGGAAAAATAATACCCGAAATTGATAACAGAGTTCAACCAATTTTTCGTACGTCTTCGGACTGCTGCAGATCTTTTACTAAAGAAAAATTTACAGGTGTTTACAAAACATTCACAACTCACAAGAGAACTCTCTAAACTCTTTAGTATTGGGAGGATGAAATGATTTCAGATAATTTTAAAGCTAAATGGGTTAAGATATTTATAGTTGAAGCTTAAGGACTAATCTTGTAAATACCTAAAGTGCCCATTTTCGGTGCCCCACAATTTGAGCCCCCTAAATTTGACTATCAACGAATCCACTTGCACTTTCGGTGGAAAGCAATTTTCAACAATCTCCCACTTGAAGACTGATTTTAATTTGTCTTCACACCTCGATCAATGCAACAATATTTCTGGTCTTGTTACTCTAGCATGCTAACTGAAGCTGAACACAACTTCATTTTGTCCATAGTCTCCGTCCTATAAACTCACTTGTTATGGAGCGGTTTCTCCGTGGTTGCCTTGTCCCTCAACGTCTTGGCTCCCTTCGACTTTTGTCCACTAGTCTTTGAAGGATTATTCCTCACTTGAACATCCTCGGAAAACCCCTGCTTCGACCCTTCTCTTAAGATGGTCTTTGAAGCCATGTTCTCTACACGAACATGCTCGACAAACTCCTTGAACACAAACAACTCTTCTTGCACTTGGCTTCTACTCGCCTTGGCAGAAATAACCTTATTGAGCCAACTCTCAACGCCTCTTCGATCCTGGGTTCGTCATTTTCTCTAGAAAACTCGATCTTGTGCTCATCCATCACCTTGGATGACTCGGCCCCCTCGGGTAATTTTGCAACAGTTCTGGCATCTTAAGTCTGCGCCCCCTCGTTTGCTCGACTCTTACCCTCGGCTTAGCATCTTTGACACGCGAACTTGTGCCAAGACTACACACATATTCCCTAGACTCACCATCTGGTTCATCATTGAGTGGATTTTCTCTGCCACTCGAGGAACAACATTCCTCATCCTCTGACTTGTCTTCATCACGGAATCTCTTGCCACTACCCTCGGCTTCGACTTTGCTTTGGAAGTCTTGTTCTTCTTGACTCCAAATTCTTTGATGGAATCAGCGGTTGTCAATGCTTTAGACAACTCCTTGACTTCCCTTCGCTCCAACACTCTCTTCGCCCATGGCTTCAATCCGAACATGAAGGTGAAGAATCCATCTTCTTCAGTCAAACTTGGGACTTTGAGCATGAGTTTTCTGAATCGACTCACATACTACTTAAGTGTCCCTTTATGCCTGAGACGCCTCAACTTGGACCACGCCTCTATCCTGGCATACTATGAGCAGACTTGCTCACTTTGCACCCTCGGCTTGACGGTTTTATCTCTTGCTATCGCACCGAGTCCCTTCTTGTGCTCTACTGCTTTGACACCCGTAGTCTCATCACGTTTCCATCCTGGGTTGACTACTTGAGAGCTTGTAGTCTCACCACT